AGTGAGGTACTTCAAGAATCAAGAGAAGAAGGCTGTATTTGGTTCTATCTACTTCTGACAGGATTTGTTTTTCTTAGGAACCTTCTTTGCATGCAGCTGTAATGCTTGAACAGGCATCATACTGCTACTTGTTTTCTAGACCACCTATGCTACGCAAGTATGGATTTCATCTTGTTTTGTCTGGTAACCGGTACTATGTATCAGATCAGGTATATCCATATTTTAGTTTAACTTTTGCTGGGTTAGTCTACTTGGTAGTTCATAAGTGAGACCTTGTGTATTTTTCATGCTGGCATGCAACTTATCCAATGCAGAAACCACATGCAATTCGCATGTATAGAAATGCACTCTCTGTGTACGAGGGACATGCTTGGAAATATATCTGTGATCATGTTCATTTCAATGTTGGAAGGTACTGATAAACTTCTTGTTTCTGTTAAATGCTTGTCATGTCGTAATGTGTTTGGGGAATTTACATTCTCTAATTCATGATTCAGGTGGTATGCTTTTCTTGGAATTTCTGATATTGCTATCAAGCACATGTTGGAAGTTCTGGCATGCAGCCATCAGTCTTTGGCGACACAAGATTTATTCCTTGGGGAATTTTTTCAAACTGTTGAGGTAGGCTAACATTTTCTTCATTTACTCTCTTCATTCGACCAGTTTTAAGTAATAGTAACATAACGGCTGATGTATATTAGCATACGGGGAAAACCTTTGAAGTTAACAAGCTCCAATTGCCCGTGATTGACATGTCCTCTTACAAAGTTATTTATGAAGATCACCGGACTTATGCGTCATCTGGAGATGTAAGTTGATTCTCTTTGTTATTGATACTTCTATACGCATGTATGTGTTTGTGTGTGTGTGTGTATGTAGGTGTGTGTATGTTATATTATATTCAAGTATAGGTGTATATCTATATGTGGGTGGCGGAGTAGTGGTTATGAGTTGCCAGGTCATTTTGATAAATTATCTACCAAGAGATGGAGGGTGATGAGACCAGCACATCGAATGTGACACGTAGGGTGGGCCTCACCTCTAATCCGTCTTGGTAGCTCATAGTTAAATGGGCTGCCACCCTATACCCCATTTTCACTGTATTTGTTTTTATGTTTAATTGTCTGTGTGTATAGTGTCTACATGTGTCTCTCAGGGAAATAACATGCTACCAAGGTTTTACATGCGAGTTTATCATATTGTATCAGATTGGTCATTTGCTTTAGAAACAGCCATACTCTATTTCGGCATAATGAGTGATGGAAAGGGAAATATAACTCTCAGCATAACTGCACATTGCTTCCCTCAATATTACAATCCCATCTCGCTGCCATGATCTTCAGCCTAAATTTAATTTTCCTAAAATATGTGGATGGTAATTATTAAATTGTCATTCAGTAACATCTATACGACTTTTTTCATCATCCAACCAGGCTAATGTGAAAGAAAGCTTGTGGCAGTCTTTAGAGGAGGACATGGTTCCATCTGCATATACTGTCAGATCTAATTGGCTAGAATCACAGCCAAAATTTTCCCCTTCGAAGATGTATAATGAGTCTCATGTTAGCGTGGTAGGAGGTATGTTTTAAATTCTCACTCCAGAGTTTTTTTAAATTATAAAAGCATGCGCCTGGCTTATTTCACTTTTATAAGGACTGGGGTATAGACTCGACAGGTTGTGAAAATGCAATATATTGATGCATAATGGATATGTCATTAAGAGAATTATTTGTAAATTTATATATAACATGAAATTGTAAGGCTGTAACAATTCAAAAAACACAGTTAGTCCTGTGATATAAAATAGTCCCAAGTTACATAAATAGAAACCAACATAATTGTTATGGATATGCATCTATAAATAAAATGAAATCATGAACCTTTAATTTATGCAAGCATTAGGTTTTTAATTTCTTAATTTTAAACTTGTCTCGGTATGCAGAATAGGAGAATCTGGCAACCATCTGCCAATATCCAAGCATCAGGTATGTCTTGGATATAGGTACTTCTCGTTGGTTGAAGTATCCGACAACATACCTTGACCTGCAGAAATAGAAAAATACCTTTGCATGTCTAGAACCACTGTCACTGCGGCTTAGTTAATTTGTAGTTTGTAGGCATGTGTCCTTGAGTTTGAGTCTGCTTACTAGTGAAGAATACTTCTTCAGCTTACTGGTTCCATGGATGCTTTCTCTTGAATTAGCACAAACTAGTCTTTAGGCCTGTGCAAAGCACCAGTCTCATACTGTTCAGGCCCTAATTTTGACAGATTAGCATTAGACTTGTGCAAAGCACGGCCGAAGCTTAAAAGACCTATGAAAGAGTACAATAACAATGATGTTATATCTTTTGGTATTTTACATTATAAATTTACATTGTATATAAGTTTATAGACCTAAACAACTTGCATTTCAAATGAAGCATAAATCAAGGATGAAATAACAATAATCATGAACAAAATTATAATTGAGTAAATTAATTATTAACTCAAAACAATACAATATTTATGTTTGATAAATTGTTTGTAAATTGAATAAATAATGATCTTATGGGATCATGACCAAGTCTTAGCTTCAAATCAAACTCTTCATTTGCCTCCTTTTCATGTTCTCTACCTTGGATGCGCCTGCTATTATTATTATGATCTCCATGCAAGCCTAATCCAAGGTTCAATTTAGCTATTAACTTGCGAGAAATATAAAATGCAAGAGATACAAAACCATAAAAACTAAATGTTGTGAAGTATAGCAAAATTAAGAATGCAGAAGATATATATGAACTGATAGTGGCCAAAAACTCTAGCATGGAGAACCTGCAACTTGAATTTCAAAGGTAAAGAAGGATGTTGTCACAGCTACTGAATCAAATAAAAATAGAAGATATAAAACTACTTCCAATCAAAACTCAATCTAGATTTCTTCATCACTTTGACACTTAAAAATAAAAACTAAAGCAAACCCATAAAATGCAAACAATTAGTTTTTTTTTTAAGAAAACATATATTTCACTACTTGCCAAAGCCATGAAAATTTAACATGCGAACAATAAAATTATCAAGTTGACTAAGAAAACATTCATGAAATTTTGACTCCTTAAGATTGTGAGGTGAGAAGAAGTGAGAAAAAGTTCAAAAAATTATTAAGTTTGACTTATAAAATAATATTGAGAGTATAACCTCATGTGATTTTCATCAAGCTCACTAAGAAAAGGTACATAGGAGACCGAGGTTTTAAATATCAGATGTCGGGTTCATGTCGGACGGCTGAAATCCATGTCGGATAGCGGAAATCGGGGATATATCGGGGACATGGACTAAATATTGGATTGTCATATCGGGTGATGCGCATATGTATAATATCATGTCCTAAATGTAATCTAAGCATTCCTAAATTCAATATAAACATACTTCCGACGAAGAAGGGAAGAGAGAGGAGAAGGCGACGCCGGAGAGGATCGATTCCGATGTCCAGGGAGGAAGCGTCGGCGATGGCAAGGAAGCAAGCGAGTGAGAGACGAAGAAGAGGAAGACGGCTGATGGGTTCCCAGCGCGTTTGCCCTAATTTTTTTTATGTTCGGGTTGGTTTCTCTTCAATCTGGTGACCCTTAACAACAGAACTGGTCAATGGATTTGGGTTTTCATCACTAAACCCAAACCCAATAAGCAAAAATAGCTCTAAACCGATAACATGGCATATCGGCCGATTTTTCAAAGTTGAAAAATCGGCCGATATGCTCGATATATCGTCGACATATCCGACATTCTTCTAAAAACCGACATTCGACTTAAAAACCCCGACTCGTGTCGTTGGCACCTTCAATCCGATATGTCCGACATGTCGGTCAACATTTAAAACACTGGTCACCATCAATTATCTTTTACTAATTTAGAAAAAATTTAGGGAATATACCAGGCATATTCCCTAAAAGAGTAGGTGGAGGAATGAGAATAGAAAATATGAGAGAATTGAGGGGTAATTTGCAAATAACAATATTTGGGGTTTAACTTCGCAGATATGGATGATTTGAGGGATATATGAGAAAATCCTTATTTTTTATAAAAATTTTTGGATGAAAGTTACTATGTTCTTTAATTACTAATTTAATCTATGTTACATGAGTGTGGGTACGGGCACGAGTACGAGTACATGATACAACAATTTGTAAAGGTAGGATAAGGGGACACCAATATACAAATATTTGTATACACATATATTGTAAATTGGAATTAATAATTTTATGAGAACAAGGATGAGAGTTAAAATTCCTATAATATTTTTACAGTCTTTTATTATATGAATTATAATTTGGAAAATCACTAATTTTTGAAGTAGACATCCAAACGACCCTTCGAAATCATAATTCGGAACCTGACCAGTGTCAACGGACAACGAGTTTCAAGAAGTGGATGTGAAGTTCAGAGTATGTGTAGAAAATGTATGACTAGTGTTTTAAATCAAAAAATGTACATGTACGTGTCATGTCAGGTACAGGCAGATTAGAAGTACCCGGGTAACACAGATTCTAGTGAAAGAGAGTAATGTGCACCCCTAATGTTAAAATTGAAAGACCAAATCTTTGTTTCCATACTCCTACCAGATGTTGACAATCGTGAGCTCCCCCCAAGCACAAGGAATCGCTCAAGCCTTCTAATTGCAAGATCCTTATCTCATTTACTACTTACAGTCCTCAATAAGCTCCTCATATTGAGGATGTTATCAAAAAGCTTCTTTGATTTATCTCTTAATCTTCATACCAAACGTCAATCTCCTCTATTAACTTGGCACAAAAAAATTCATCTTTGCTTCCTCGTACTGCATGAACTAATGTTCATACTTAATTCTAGGTGATCATAATGGGTGATGAGAGAGCAATCAAAAGTTTCGCAACTTATGCCCTTGAAAGGATCAGAATCTTTAGGATAATGTTTATGTTGGATTGTGGAGATAAGTCATAAAACTTATCTAATAAAGGTAGGCCAATGTTTGTATTTAAACTCCCAATAGAGCAAGGGTTGAAATTTACCAAGTAGTTCATATCCTAGTGAGAATTATCATTTTGGTAGCATGAATTTAAAGCACACTCTACACACAATTAGAATGAAAGTTATATGAAATACCCTGAAATGCACGAGTGCGAGTACGAGTACGATTTTTGGGACAAGATACAAAATTTTTAGGCAAAATAGCCAAATTGGTATATTTTGTTGACCCTCGGTGACAGATTGGTATATATTTTTTTATTTTGACAAATTGGTATATTATCTGGACTCCGGCGTCAAATTGGTATATTATCTAGACTCTGGCGCTAAATACCCCTTAAGTTTGGCCAGATCCAAATTTTCTGGCCAGTTTTCTCACGTGACGGCTCACGTGATGCCCAGCTAGCGGGATTTATTGCACAAAACCCCCTCATGTTGCAACTATTCTTAAAAAAACCCTCCTCTTCCTCCTCCCCCTCTCCCCATCACCCACGCCCACTAGCTCAGCAAACCCTCAACCCTCACTCCTCCTCTTCCCCCTCTCCCTCCTCCTCCTCATGTACAGTTTTTAGAAGCAGCAACAGCCAACAAATTAAAACAATAGTTCTCATTTCAAAGTTGGTATTTTGTTTGCACTCTGTATTTAATTCTCATTGTGGGATTTCTGCCGTCTTTAGAGAGAGACAGAGGGGGGCTCTGAAGAGGGGGATAAAATGGATAAGGGATTAAGACTGAAGGTATATCCTCACCAAATTCACTTTAATTTCTGTTTTCCCTTTCTGGGTATCTTTTCATTTTGATTCTCGAACTGTTTTATGCTGTAAAAATCCTAACTTTTTGTACTAGCTGATCAAATTTTAGCTTGTACTAGCATTAAAACTCTTACCTGCACAGAGATTTCATGAGTAAATTTTAAAATATAAAGTCTAGCAATTGAAGAAAACAGAGTGGCAGTCACGGCGCACAGTGGTAAAGGTTTTTTTATGATAGAGTATTGCATGGTTTG